TGATAGGAGCATATTTATTCGACTTTGTTATCTTATTTCTTTGCATTTACTTAGTTAATTTCCATTTATTTTGGTAATTTATGTTATTTTCGTATTATTGTAGGTCCAATTGGTAAAGATGACAATAAATGGCAAAATGGAGTAATTTGAAGCAGTTTTGGACTTGGATTGGATAGTAGGCGTGGATAGCATATGGGCTGGACGTTTTTGGTGTTTAAATGGTGCTAGGCATGTGCTAAAATCTGGAGAAATTAAAGTTGAGGCTTGGAAGACAAGGAATTACACAAGAAAAAGGAATCTTAGTGGGAGAAGCATTATCTTATCCTATCTTATTCAATCTTACCTTATCTTATCCAGATTCATTTTATCCTTATCCTATCTTATCCAAACCTTATCCTATTTTATCTTATCCAACTGCAAGGAGGAATCCTAATCATATTCCAACACTTTCTACCTGATTTTTAGAGTCCTAAAATAACTCAAAAACGCCAAAACCCTTTCCTCCTTGGATTCAGCCATATTCCCCTATATATATGAAATTCTTGCAGAGATTTAGGGTGTGCCATGCCTACCATTCATCCATTAAAGTTGCTGGAATTTTTAGAGTTCTTTCTATCTTTGTTTTAAGTTTCAATGTTTATTTTAGATTGAGTTTCAATTATGATGAACATATGTAACTAAATTTCTTTTTAACTAGAGGTGAATTCGAAGCCATGATCATATGTTTTATATAAATTGATTACATTCAGTTATTGTTTCATAAAACATAAATGCGATTTACTTATTTGCTTTATAGAGAACTTATTCTTCTATGTTTATTAAGGGTGCACACTTAGTTTGCATGCAGGGATTTGATGGTAGAATATAAAGGAATTTCACCTAATCGTTATGAACTTATATTTGCAAGTAGTAAAAGTCACTAGTCATGATTGAGTTAAGTAAATTCTTGGCAGAAGTATCATGCTTTTCATAGTTACAAATGCTTTGTCAATGCTTATGATTTTCTTAGAACTTAATGATCCTTGAGATGTATCTCATCATGCTTTTCATAGCTAGGGAACTGGAGAAAAATAATTTGGTTGCGTCGCTGAGTCCAATTCAATGAACTTAGGAAAATCTGAGAGTTAATTAGTATTGTTCATAATTAATTTGGGGCATTGTCATTCATGGTTTATAGGAAGAATAACTGGAAATCAATTTGTATGCATATGTTTTATGTGTGGAGAAGAATCGTCTAGCTATCCTCTGACCCATATTTCATTCACAACTTAATTTAATTGCTGCCATTTACTTTTATTCTCATTAAATTCGTCCAAAATCCCCCCAGTCATTGTTTAGATGTTAGTTTAACTTAGTTTTCTATTTTACAAGTTTAATTTATGTTGATTAGCGTCCCTTCTAATCCCCGGAATATAACGATCCCTACTTACTCGTACTACAATTGCATAGTATATAGGGTTTAATTTGCATGTTAGTTTCTACCACATCAAGCTGGTGTCCCTTTGGCACCTCTAAAATCCACGTTAAGGCATGTATCAAGTCTTCTGAATCACTTTACACGTTTTGGATTCCTAGCAAACTTCCTAGAGAAATGCTAAGGAAACTCTCTCAAGGGGAACTCTTTATAGACTCTCTGACACCTTATATTTTTGGCACAATGTTTTATATTTTAGCACGGAAACTGTGCCAAAAACAAAAGGTGGCGGAGAGTCTCACTTTTAAGTGAGTCTCCTTAGCATTTCTCAACTTTTTAACTTTTCTAAGAAAATACTCAAAGTCTAATTACTTAAATTGATAATGTGACAACCCGTCCCGAATTATTTTGATCGATAGCGTGAAATGACAATTTTTCCCTTGAATGTTGTGTGGATATGTGTGTAAATGGGCTAAGCTTTTGGACCCATCTATTTTTATTCTTAAATTTTTGGATCTAATTGGAAGTAAGATTTTGTTGATTTTGTTTGGTTGCCAACTAGACCACACGCACACACACACACACATCAAATCCCTTTGACCCTCTCTCTCATCCCTCTCGAATTTTTTTCATTGGTCCGTACACTCGTACGGTCATCTCCTTAACTCTCGTCATCTCTCACAGATCGAGGTGTTTAAGACCACCATCATACTTCTTGTGACTTCATGAGTTGAGTGCGGTTCACGGGAACTCGAGTTACCCGAACTCCGGTGAAGGGTGATTTTCCTCCGACGTGATCGCGAGGGTTTTAAGTGGTTTTGAGACTTAAGAAGGTAATACTCTTACTTTTCTAGCACGTGGGTTCAATTTTGGAGTGGTTTTAACGTAAGAACACTCGGGTTTATTTAGTTACAGGGTTTGGTCTGTTTCCTCGAATTTTTCTGGTAAAATTCTGTTGGTTTTAGGAACCCAAAGTGGTAAGATTGTGTTCATCTCATCCTAAGCTTCATTTTGGTACAAATTTCATGAAATTTGGTTGAGAAATGGTGGAGATAACAAGCATTGAAAATTTTTCAGTTTCCGATGACACAGACGGTGACCAGCGGCGGAGTCCGGCGATCCACCGGAGAAGAAAGGAGAATATTCCATCAACTTTGACAGAATATTCCTAAGGGCAATTAACGGCATCAGGTATGTTTAACGGAATATTCCTAACGGCAATTAAGTTTTCGTTAAGGTTGGCCACACGTGGGGGCGCGTCTGGCTGTGCCCTTGCCGGCGCGTGGCGGCGCATGGATGGTCCAAAAATTATTTTAAAAATATGGGGATGTTTGTGGTGTTGAGTAGATCATGTTGGTGTATTCAAACACCCCATTTAAGCAATTTATGAGAAGTTATTAGCTAGTTTCGTTTATGTGCTTTAAATTAACGTTTATATAGTTGTTTCGCATATAGGTGAGACCTATCCTCAGGACGAGCGCAGTCAATCGAGGTTTAGGGGTTACGACCCTTCCACATACTAGTGAGTGGGCTTTTGGTTTTCTGTATATACCTATATACTTGAGATTTTTCCCAGAAAATCGATTTAAATGAAATTATGTTTGAAATGCCATGCCTATTGATTTATGCTTAGACTATGAATTTTTATGATATGTGCATATTGTGATTTGACGCAGTGGACGCTCAAATAAGTATCAGGTGAATTGTAGATTGTTTATGTGAATTGATAATTATGTGAGATGCGTTGAAAGCTCATAAACTTTCACCCCGGTGTTAGTTTTCCCATTCGTGGTTAGGGTACAGTCCTTCACATGATGTTCACCATCCGCACTATACGCTCACCTTGGATCCAAGTTAGGTGCACAGTCCTGTCGTACAAACCACTATAGGTGGTTCCGACTCGTAGGTGACCCGCGATTATTTGCACAGTCTTCACGTGATCGTAGCACTTGAGCGTACTTATTTACACCCAGTCCTGTCGTACAGACCACTTTAGGTGATTCCAACTCGTGTACAGGTATAATTGTTGAGATGTGGATTTGAGCCGTACAAGTTACGTTAGGTGACTCCAGCTAGATGGATAAGCTCTAGATTTAGCCATACAGGTCACGTTAGGTGACTCCGACTGACATATCATTTGCATTGATTTATATCACCTAGCTTACATATTTTTATGCTGAGATATTCGACATGGCATATTTGTGAATTTTTCTATTCTGAGCATGGTTGTGGTATAGATATGTATTCTATTTTCTGGGAAATTATACAGGTTTTATGGCGAAGGGTTACAATCTTTGATAATTGAAATGGTTTTGAAAAACGTTGTTTTTGCCCACTCACACTTTTTGTTTTGCACCCTTCCAGGTTCTAGTTAGGAGTGTTTTTTGGTGGCTTACGAGGAATCGACGGTAGCTCTGACAGATTACCACCATTGTATGGTCACCTTTGGGTGTTGTTTAATTAGTATTCGTTCTGCTAGACTGCACTTAGGCTATTTATGCTCTGGTTGTGAATTCACACTTATTTCGTCTTGCACCTTATCTTATTAGTGCTCTAGTTAGTTTGGTTTTTATTTATTCGCATTTCTTATATTATTATTATTATGATTGCTTCCGCACGGTGCACATGGCTACGTCACCCTCACGTGATGGCTAGCACGCCTTGATTTCAGTTGGGGTGTGTCAGATAAACTCTAAATACATACTACTCACAAATCACACATGTAAAGTACTATTATAAATTATGAGTTCGAACCTCATCGGTGACTAATCTAACATTTAATTTAACAAAATTTATCGTTTGCCAAAAAAAAAAAATACTATTATAAAGTAAATACTATAAATTTAGAGGTATTCATCCTTTTTAATGTGGCAGAGGTCTCTTGTCACTTTTTTTATATATACTAATAACAAATAAAAACTAATAATCATGGACTAGGTTTTATGAGAAACTTTGGATGAGGTTTCTAGTGTTTTTGATTGAATTCCCTGACATTAATGTAATAATGTATTTATATGTAAGTTATTATATTTTTTAAATTAAAAATTAAAAATTATAGTTGTTTATATTAATGAGACTTTAAATAAAACTCATAATTTGTAGAATTGATAATTTTAAAAAATAAATTATACTCTCCAGTATATTAAGAGACATTCTTTTCAAGAGAAAAAAAAAAAAAAAAAAAAAGAACCACAAAGCTTCTGCTTTTATCAACCATTATTCAATTTCTATGGTTTTTATTTTAAATTTTTGAAGTGATATACACTAAGAAAATGACCAGCTTGAACTCGGGAATAGTGTGTTGAAGAGAAAAGGGCCTAACCTACTTGCCTATGTTTTTTATTTTTAGGGTTAATTAATCTTAAGAGGTAATTTTAAATTGGTTTCAACTTTTTAAAACATTTCAAATAACTACTAAAGTGTTGAAAATTAGACATTCACTGGGTCACCAACATTAAGTTATAACATGGACAAGTATTGAAGCGATTTTTACTCGCACATCATCTATTTTATTCATCATTTTAATTATTATTTTTAAATACTTATTTAAATTATGAAAAATAAATAATAGTTTAAACTTGACATATCAAGTGGAGAATAGAATTTAAAAAAAAGATCAAAATGTCACATAAGTCTTCAAATTTAAATTTCACGTTTAAATTTGACATATCATTTGAAGATAATTTAAGCTATTAGGTATAGTTTTTAATAATTCTTTGGATATGCAGCCAAAGCTCCAATGGCTTGGATATCATGACCATGTGATCAGATCCTGTGATTTCCACCACTTTGTTTGGCCGATTTTTCTTGATCATCCACTGTTGAAAGTCCATCTTTCCGACTAAATCTCCTTCCGATATTACATAAACCCGATTGACCGACCCGTAATTCTCGTTGGTTAGCTTGAGTTTCTTGGACAAGTCCTCTTCACTGAACAAACGTAGTGGTCTCATTAGCATGCTGCCTAAAGCTACATCCTGCAGCAAATTATTGTACATTACATGAACGGTTAGATCCTGTAGGTTGACAATGATTGAACGGTTGAGATTTCACTTACCTCAATTGGGCTAAGTTGGTAGACTCTTGATTTCAAGTACAACGGGCCAAATATGAGAGTGGTTGGAGGATTGCTTGGGCCTTGGTCGTATGTGTATCGACTGTCTAATAGAGAATCTTGTCTCCGGAACGACTTTATAATTCCAACATATAATCAAAAAGAAAAGGACAATGAGTCTCCCTTTTAGGTTTAAAATATAAAATATCTTATTGTTCTTATTTCAAATTTTTATCACTTAGTATTTGGTATATTTTTTTTTTACTTGTAAATGAGAGATTTAGGTTATCATATTTCTTAAAAATGGGGACAATTGGTGGCAAGTCATTTTTATCCACTCCTTCCGGGGGCCTGTAAGACTCATAGAGACATTTCAGCTTGCTCCTGACCACAAGTCTAGCTTCTACACCAGCAGTAGGTTTCGAACCCAAGACCTCCAGCTTTTAGTTTGAAGGAAGCCTCGCAATTCGTCTGCTACCATTAGGCCACCATGTTGTGGTTGAGGTCTAGGTTTGATTCTTACCAAAAGTGAATTCAAACAAAATTATTATAGATACCCATGAAGTTTAGCTAGTCTCTCATCTCCTAGTATACATAATATCAAAAGTATTCATACAAAAATATGAAGATGTACTTTTGTAGATTTATGTTTAATTATAGGGTAAATTACATTTTACCCGCTCAGGTTTGGAATCAATTTCAATTTTTTACAATATCTTTAAAATATTTTAATTTCATACATTTACTATCATTTTATTTCAATTTCATACATTTTTTAAAAAATCTGTTAAGTAAATCGTTAAGTGATGACGTGGTAATGACGTGGCTGCCAAAATTATGCCACGTGATAAAAAAAGTAATTTTTTATGAATTTAAAATATTATAATAATTTATTCTATTTAAAAAAAAAAAAAAAAAAAAAAGCCCAATCTTCTTCCCTGAGGACACCCCACCCCACCCCACGCCACCTGCACCCACAAGGTGCAATTCAAACGTTATGTCCATTTCTCCTATGTGTAAAACCCAATTTTTATTCAAAGAAGCATCTTTCACATATCCATTCAATTAGAGAGAAACCCTTTTCCTGGAAAATTTATTGCTAGTGGAATACCCAATCTTTTCATTCCCGACGGTTTTCCCAGCAGCCAAACAGAACACAAAGTATAATTTAAAGATGAAATGTGCAAGGAAGAAACAGCAAAACGGAGAGAGAATTGGATTAGGGTCGAAATTAGGTTTACCTATTTGAGGTCCTTCTTCTTCAGCCAATCCGAGAATCAATCTGATGGCACCCAAAACCCACCCTCGGGCACCGGATTATGGACTTTCGGATATCCGGAAAGGGGATTTGGACCTTGGTGAGGAGGAAATCGAAGATTGGATAGAGGGCAGAGTGCGGTCCACGGTGAAGAGCTGTGGGTACATGTCGAGGATCCGACCCTGGGCGAAGCACTGGATGCCCATGGAGGAGAGGCATCCCTCGACGGACTTGAGGGAGGAGAAGGGGCAGGAGGGGAAATCTGGGTTTAGTGGAGGGCTTTTTGGGAATCGACAAGGTGGGGGGTTGGAGGTGGGATAGGGTGTGCTCGGGGAAGAAGATGAGTTTCTTTTTTTTAATAGGATATATTATTATAATATTTCAAATGCATAAAAAAAAAAAAAAATTTTGCCACATGGAATAAATTTGACAGCCACGTCATCAATTAAAGGTTTACTTAACGGATTTTTTAACGAATGTATGAAATTGAAATAAAATGATAAGTAAATGTATGAAATTAAAATGTTTTTAAATTGTTGTAAGTAATTGAAATCGACCCTAAACCTGATGGAATAAAATGTAATTTACCCTTAATTATGTCAATCAATCTAGAGATATTTTCTTTTATTATTATGTTTTAAGATAACAATATATTATAATAAGGAGTACGAGATTTGGGCTAATTCATACAATATGTCTGCCATAATAATTTAATTTGAACTCGTTATTTATGATTGAAACTTTAAATTTCCTCACTTATAAGTGGAGATGAATAATATTATAGAAGACAATAGTGTTATATGATGGGGCTTTTGTTATAAAAATGTGCAGCTAGGTACCTCTTTATTAAGGCTGGAAATGTTGAGGGCCGGGCCTGGCATCAGGGCAGTGACAAAAACAGCTACAGATATCTTACCTGGAAATCTTTCCATGGCTTGAGAAATGGCCAACCCACCAAGACTGTGACCAACAAGAATCACCTTTCCATCAATAGCTTCCATGAAATCCCTCAAGGGCTTCAAGTAGTCGGAAATTGATCGCAAATTCTTTGCCTGCTGTGGGTCGACCCCAGAAGCAGCTAGGTCTAGGGCAGTGACGTTGTGACCAGATGATCTAACTAGGGTTACAAGCTTGTACCAAGACCAAGCACCGAAGCATGACCCATGAACTAACACAAAGTGCTGCTGCTTGCTAGGATTTGTAGGTGCCGACTTGATCTCATTTGCTACACAAAGAAGAAGAATGATGAGAAAAGTAGAGATTGATGTAATCAAATTTTGCTTTCGTTGATCCATATGTGTTTGTGTTTCTGGTTTGGTCACCACCAAATTGATTGACAAACAAATTCATTGTTTTGTGTATTTATATTATTGAGTTCAAAAAGTAAAGAGAGTTTGGGTTGGACCAAACACTTCTATTGAATTTGACTAATATATTTAAAATTGCATCTCCAGAGACTTAGAGGTTCCTACTTGAATAAACAAGCATTTAGTCTTGTAAATTTGTAATTGTTAATGTTGCTGATGCCAAATGCTTGAAAATGTGGAAGTTGGTGGGAGCAAATTTTCAATGTCATATCTCGTAGGATGGTCAAATAATTGATCTGCGCTTATGTGTAGTATTTTTTGGATGAGGATCTTCTCCAGATTCTCTTTGTGAGGATCCTCACATCCTATTCGTTTATCTTACATCATGCGGTTACATATTATTAGGTACTATTTGTGTTTAATTTTAAATAAAAAAATTCAAAATGATATCGGACCACACGATGTGCGATTAACATATATGATGAGATCCTCACAAAGAGGATCCAAATGGGATCCAAATCCATATTTTTGTATCCTTTCATGCTTGGACCACAAGGTAGTCCAAATAAAATATTGCTTCTGTTATTCAATTAAAATCCTGAAGTGATGAATCATGGATGCTTTCAACATTGAAATTACAGAGCTATGGCCTATACTTATAAGGGCTTGATAGGGTTTGATTAAGGTAGTACAGAATGTAAAACCTTTCAGTCACTGCCATCAACTATGTTCCAATTATAAAATTTATACAATGAAGATAAGTTATTCGCAAAAAAATGGGAATACATTCATTTCCCTATATAATGAAGTCTCATTCTTTATAGATGATATCTGTGAATGGATTTCAAAAGGATTTTATTTGTGAAAAAACTTTGAAAGCCAGCCGTTCACGTTTTGTTTTAATACAAGCACTATTTTTCACTATAAGGAGAACGCACTTCTCTACGGAATTTGGTTAAGCCTAGGTCAGCGAAATAAATCAGCACAAAACCACCCCTTTGATACATTTGATACTTTCATAGGGAGAGAATTTTCACACAAACTTTTAGCCTATGCACCCTTGTGCAGATTTGATCTCCATTGATTCTCTCTCACCTAAAACTAGGTTTTAATCCTTGGAAGACATTACTTTTAGACTAAAACCTTATCTAAGATAAGTCTTTTGACTATGTCCAAGTCAATATTTATAATGAATGTCAGATTTAATTTCTCTTATTGTTGTAGACCTAATTTACTGAACAATATAAAGGACAGAGAGAGGGGGTGTGGCGGCAATAGAGAGAAAGAGAGATGTGTAATTGTGAGGGGTGTGTTATCTCACCCCATTGTGCCTTTATTTATAGTAGTATGGAAGGTAAATTCATTACCCTAATAGGATAACAACTCTAATAGGATAATATCTAACCATAGAGAATCTTCTGAAGATATCCCAAATACTTTAGAATTTACAAGATCACATTCTTAGTCTAATAGGACTGCAACACTCCCCCTTGAGTGTGTAAATATTCAAACAAATGGTGCATCAAGTCTTTAGCGATGAAGTAAGTTCAGTTGATGAAGTTGTCAACAGAATGAGTGAATGTGAGTCTTAAAACAACAAAAGAATGCATAAAAGGTAAAATTCACAAAACCTTGTTATGGTAAAACCCAAGGTAGGATAAAAACCCATAGACTAAGGAGAAAAGTGAGAAGTTGCATTAAGTCAAAACTATATGACTTCTAGACGCTAGTAAAAGAGCTCACAAGGGTATGATCAGCCCAGGATGGGTGCCTCGTCAAAACCTAGTTAGGTAGCAAAAACACGGTAGGAAAAGTGCTCCTAATTGTAGGAAAAAGAGTACATTAAGATTAAGTGAGTATACTTCTGGATACTCCCCTTGAGTTTGACAAAACTTCCAAATGGGAACTATAAGCATTGCATATAAATAGTTAGGCATACCAATTCCTCTGACAAGCTTCTGGAAGGTGGACTTCGACAGTGACGTCGTGTAAAGGTCAGCAAGGTTGTCTGGGATCGACTTGCATGACTTCAATCTCCTAATGATTTGCTAATGTGGTGTAGACACAATACGTCTTAATGTCAGGACTCAACGATGGATGAAAACAATACGTACTTCGAATATGCTCAACAAGAGCTCTCAACCATGTCTCACGTGTGGCGTAGTGAAGTGAGGTGAGTCTTGGAACAATTCGAAGATTTCACAACTAAGGTCAGATCGTGGACCTCTAAGATATTGCGATATCCTTAATGGTAAAGGCATAACCATTCAGAGACGTGCTAACCTGTGTCAGCATAACAAACAAGACAAGCATTATTCCACTGATTGATAGGAGCATATTTATGCTAGTTAGTTATGTTGTTTCCTTGCATTTAGTTACTTAATTACTATCTATTTTAGTCTTTTAAGCTATTTTCGTATGTTTTTAAGTCCTAATGGAAAAAGGAGCAAGAAAGTGCATTTTGAGGCTATTTGGAGCATTTTTGGGCATGGATTTGATAGCTTAACTATGGAGCAATGTGGATGGACGAAATTGAAGTCAAGAGATGCTAGGAAAGGCTAAAAATATGAAGAAAGAAGTCCAAATGCAAAGAAGATAAGGAAAGAGCAAGAAATAAGGAACCTTATCCAAATTTCCTTATCTTATCCAAACCTTATCCAACCTTATCTTATCTTATCCTATCCTAATCTTTTCCTACCTTAATTCCAACTTCAAAGAGGACTCACTTTCACATTAAATCACCTAAATATCAAGTTCTAGAAGCCCTATTTTCGTGCATTAAGTTTATGCCACATGTAACTCTTCTAGAAGTTCTAGAATCTGCCACAAGGACCATTCATTGTCCTCCTTGGAATCTGATTGAAAGTATCCTTGTTCTTTGGTGATTTGGAGTCCTAATTCCTCTCCTTTTCAACCCAAAATCGTGCCTCCCCTTCACCCTATAAATACTTGATGCCACAACACTCAAAAACCACCACCCTCTACCCCAAATTCACACCACACCATCCACCACACCTCAAGAGCCTAAATTCACACAAATCCCCATTGTTGGCAGCAAGGAAGGAAGGATGAGCCACCTGGAGTGTTTCTAGGTGTATTTAATCTTTGTTTTCAATGTTTAATTTATATTCTCTTTGTTTTGTTGTAAACATGAGGAACTAATTTTGTTTTGGCTAGAGGAGACTTTGAAACCATGATTATATTTGCAATATGAATTGATGAATTTCAGTTGTGATTTCATAAATTGTGAATGCAATTTACCTAACCATTTGATGGATAACTTATTCTTGTTTGTTGATTAAGGGTGCACACTTAATTTGCATGCTTGAATTTGGTGCTAGAATATAAGGGAGTTTCACATAATTGTTACAAACTTATATTCACAAGTAGTTAAGGTTGTTTTCACAATCATGTTAAGTAAATTCCTAGCATGAGTATCATGATGTCATAGTTACAAGTGCTTTGTCAATACTTATGATTTTCATAGAACGTAATGATCTTTGATTGTATCTCTATTATGATGTCATGTAGAGAACTTTTGAAGAATGCTTTGGGTTGTCGTATGATGTCATCCAATCCAATAACTTAAGGAAAATCTGAGGGTTAATTAGTGATGTCACGGTTAATCTGGGGTGTTGAGGTTCATGGTTTTTCGAAAAAACAACTGGAAATCAATTTGTATGCAAGTGTGTCATGTGTGGAGAAGGACCCTCTAGCTATCTAATCATCCATATTTTTCCCCAATTTCGTCCAAAGTTGTTTAAGTCTTTAAATCTGTTTGTTTTTACTTTAATTTCGTCCAAATCAACCTCCCCTTTAATTAAGTGTGTTAGATTAGTTAGACACGTGTTCGAATCTGTCCAATTTAGTGTTTTGAGTCTTAATAGTCTAAAATTCGTCCAAATAACTACTTAGAGTCTGTTTCGAGTCTATTTAACTTAGTTTGTGTGTTTTGAGTCTTGTTAGTGTGTTTTGAGTCATATAAGTCTAGTTAAGTGTTTTTAAGTTTTGTTTTGTGTTTTTAAGTCAGTTTAGAGTAGATTAGCATCCCTTCTAATCCCCGGCCTAAAACAATCCCTACTTTCATATACTACAATCATAGGGTTTTAATTTGAGTGCTAGAATACCAATTCAGTGGCTGCGTGTAGGCGCGGTGCTGCATCTTTACCAATAAATCAACAACGAAGGACATGTCTTGTCTAACATAATGATCTAAGTACAATAAAGCGCAAAGTTGAACTTAGGTATGGAACTTCGGGTTTCATAACCTTTTCAAAGGTCTCATTTGCATATAGCATATGGAAGATCATAGGTATACTTAAATGTAACACCTTTGGGGTAAAGTTCGACTAGCAGACCAAAGTACTATTAAAACAACACTTGAAGGTCAAGGCAGAAACAAGTTTTCCTAAGATCCTACATCTCAAATTCTGTCTTTAGGTGCAAGGCACTTTTTTCAAGCTCTTCCAGAGTCTTGGTGAGATTCAAGTCAATGATATAAATGGTAACTCTAGCAATTCAGAATAAGACTTCATAGTTTAACACATAAGAGCATAATTCATAACCCTAACTAATCAAATAATCACTTAGACGGATATACCATATTCGCCATATTGCTTCAATCCGTAAGTGAACCCCTTAAAAGAATTAAGAGGGTGTTCCGTGGTTTGGAACTATTTGAACCAGTCCATGTAATTCTTCGGGAACTTACATGTCAATTTTTGTATCAATATCCCAATGGAGAAACACTAACCACATTTTATAACGTTGCAATCAATCATAGGGTGTTTGAGAGAAACCTTGTGCTATAAGGCGTGCATCATATCGCACTATTTCATTCATCACATTACACTTCCTTTCACACTAGTAACACAATAGGGTTACCTCGAGCAGTGTAGGAACTTGTTGACCCTAAAAATTACAAAGCCTACGTGGCGTGCAGGCCGAGTAACTAATAAGCTAACTACGTCCTTCGGTAGAATACGGGACTTGCCAACTCGTCGGCCGAGCTCGGCCAAGGAATAAAATTTGTGATGTTGTGTTGAGCGCATTGCTGACTTCTTTATCTTGCAACTGCGGTTGAGGAAAGAACAAATCTTGGCCTTTGGATTCTCGAGCCTGAAGACAAGGCTGTTAGTTCTGCAAAGTTCACAAATCGTCGATGCCCGATTCGGTCACAATGATTATATTCGTAAAAGTATAAGCACGTCGAATCGACACCAGACTATACGGACACAAGTATTCAAAGGTGATGTATGTCTTGATGGTGAATGTGGTTCGGCC